CTCCGACCGAGGAGGTCGACGTGGGGGCTGGCCGCTTTCGCGATGCGATTACGCATGTATGCGATGCGGCCATGCCCCGCGTTCGAGGTCGTCGGCCTCCAAGGAAGGAGGTCTACTGGTGGTCCCAGGAGCTGGCGGACCTCCGTGCGGCCTGTACACGTGCCCGGAGGTCCTACACGCGCAGTCGGCGGCGTCACCGTGGAGACGGTGAGGAGGACCGGCTTCATGAGGAGTACCGACGGGCGCGGAAAACTCTGAAGCTGGCCATTAGCCGCGCCAAAGAGGAAAAAAGACAGGAGATGCTGGAGGGTCTTAATCGTGACCCCTGGGGTCGCCCTTACCGCGCGGTGCGACAAAAGCTCCGCGCGTCGGGCCCCCCCCTTACGGAGACTCTCCAGCCCAGCTTCCTGCGAGAAGTGGTTGAGGGCCTTTTCCCACAACGGGCGGAACACACTCCCCCGTCGATGGCCTCCCTGGCCGGAGACGACGGGGAGCACGGGGAGGACAATGTTCCGCCCGTCCGGGAATCGGAGGTAGGGGCGGCTGTTCTACGGATCTGTTCCAAGAACACCGCCCCTGGGCCAGACGGGGTACCGGCCCGAGTGCTGGCCCTGGCCCTCAACCACATGGCAGACCGCCTCGGGGAGGTGTTCGACGCTAGCTTGGCGTCGGGACGCTTCCCTGAGTGCTGGAAGAGCGGGAAGCTGGTCCTACTGACGAAGCCGGGACGGCCTGCCGATTCGGTCGCGGCCTATAGGCCCATCGTGCTGCTGGACGAGGCGGGCAAATTGTTTGAGAGGGTTCTTTCTGCCCGCATCGTCCGGCACCTCTGCGAGGTGGGCCCCGATCTGTCGGACGCCCAATTTGGTTTTCGGGCGGGGGCGTTCGACAGTCGACGCCGTGTTGCGCCTGAGGGCCGTGACCGAAGAGGCCGTGAGCTGTGGCGGCGTGCTGTTGGCGGTGTCATTAGACATCGCCAACGCATTCAATAGTCTGCCATTCAGCTGCATCAGGGAAGCACTCCACTATCATGGGGTGCCAAAGTACCTGAGGCGGCTAGTGGCAGACTACTTAGAGGAGCGTACCGTCGTGTACGAGGACCGAGAAGGTAATTTGAGGAGTCGGCCCATGTCGTGCGGTGTTCCACAGGGGTCTGTTCTTGGACCCCTCTTGTGGAACATAGGGTACGACTGGGCCCTTCGCGCCGATTTCCCCCCCGGGCTGGGTGTAATCTGTTACGCAGACGATACCCTCGTGACAGCCCGGGGGGCAAACTTCCAAGAGGCGGCGCGCCTGGCCACAGGGGGGAGTCTCCCTGGTGGTCGGGCGCATTGAGGCGCTGGGCTTACGGGTGGCCCTAGATAAGACGGAGGCCCTGTTATTCCATGGGCCCCGTCGTGGTCCACCCCCTGGCGCCTCAATAGTGGTCAACTCGGTCCTCGTACCGGTTCGGGCCCAGATGAAATATCTGGGCCTGATCCTCGACGGGAGGTGGCTCTTCGACGAGCACTTCCGACAGCTTGCTCCAAAGCTGGTCGGCGCTGCGTCTGCCCTAGGGCGACTTTTGCCCAATATGGGTGGACCCAGCGTCGCGACAAGACGGCTGTACACGGGGGTTGTCCGGTCAATGGCACTGTACGGTGCACCGGTGTGGGCGGCGGCTCTGACCGCCCAGAATAGGGTACGCCTCTGGCGCCCTCAGAGGGTAATGGCGGTCAGAGCCATACGCGGTTACCGCACCGTTTCGACGGAGGTGGCGTGCGCGTTGGCCGGAACTCCCCCGTGGGATTTGGAGGCGGAAGTGCTCGCCGAAGTTTATCGGCGAGTGGCTGACTACCGGGCGGAGAGCGGATTTCGCCCTCCGCCCGAGGATGTGCGCGAGTGGCGCGAAGCCGCTCGCCGAGCCACGATGGCTCGTTGGTCGTTCCGGCTGGAGCCTCCACGCGCTGGCTTCGCCGCCGTGGAGGCTCTCCAGCCGGTCATCGCCGAGTGGGCAGGGCGGCAGCACGGGACCCTTTCCTTCCGACTGACGCAGGTGCTTTCCGGGCACGGTTGCTTCGGAAAGTACCTGCACACGGTCGCTAGGAGGGAACTGAGTCCCGCCTGCCACCACTGCGACTGCAGTGAGGACTCGGCCCAGCACACGCTGGCGGTCTGCCCCGCATGGGCGGCGCAGCGCCGGGCCCTCACTGCAGTCATCGGAGTGGATCTCTCGCTACCGGCCGTAGTACGCTCCATGGCCGGTAGCGACAGTTGTTTTACCGCGGTCGCAACCTTCTGCGAGGTAGTAATCTCGCGGAAGGAGGCGGCGGAGAGGGCCCGGGAGGACGACCTCCACTCGGACCCGATCCGCCGCCGGCGAACCGGGCGGCGGAGGCCCGCCTACCACAGCCTCATGCCGCCCTGAGTGTGGCCGCGGGTGGACGGGCTGGGTTTCCCCTCCACCCGCATTAGTTGGCCAGCCGCGAGGGGGCGGCGTCCGCGTGTGCCGGACGTCGCCTAAAGAGAGGAAAATGTATTGAGACGGAGCCCGCACCAGGAGCGGGCTGGCGCTAGGAGGGGTCCGGATGTCTTAACAACAGCTGTTCCCGGATCCCTCCTGTTACAGACGCAGAGTGGCACACCGTGTGGTTTTAGTCGGTCCGAGTCCGACACACCACCCCGCCGCAAACCCCGGAGGGGTGACGGTCCGAGGGGATTTCCACACGTTAAAAAAAAAAAAAAAAAAAAAAAAAAAAGGGTTTGTGTCAAGTTTTCCTTCTCTCTGCAGTGATGTTGTTATGCGTAGTTTTTTCCCGTAGTCGGCTCTTACGACACCCACGGGATGAATAGGGGTGGTGACACTCTGTTTTCTTAATCCGTCACCACACGGAGCCCCGTCACCGTCCTTTATGGTCAAGAAATGGCGCGCGCCCTCTTCAGCGTGTCTCGCCGCCGGCCGGCCTGCTTCTGCTCGGGTGACAGATGGCCTCACCTGTCACCCCCAGGCCTGCGCTTATGGAGGACGGAGGTCGTTCTGCGACCTCCGGCGCCTGAATCGTCTGGGGTACCTGGCCCGTGCCCGGGCCTGGCGGGCCGGGAGAGTTCTAAACCTCTCCCGGTCCTGCACCGCCATCTCCTTCGCAAACATAATTTGCCTTAGCAGCCTTAGGAGACGGCGGAGTTCCATGCACTCTCCGCACCATAGCCGCAATCATGTTACCGAGCGAGAGAACTCCCACCCCGATGTCCACCACGAGGCCACGCCTCTGCTGCATCCACGCCGATCATTCCGCCAGCGTGTGGAGCGCCGTGGCCACGGTCCAGCCATCGCAGTGGTGGCACTCAGGCTTTGGCTCCTTGCGGATCAGACACAGGTGATCCCCGAAGCATCCTTTCCCAGTGATCACCTGCGTCAGCCGGTATGAAATGCCGGTCCCGTGATGCCTCTCGAGCCAATCCTCCATACTGGGTCTTACCGCCGCAATAACGGCGTGCCCGAGTTCTTCTACACCAGAAAAATAAACGCCGTTTTACCGTGTTGTAGAGAAAAGTTCAAGAAACAAGAGCGCGTCTGAAAAATTACTCACGTTGGCTAACTACTTTTTTATGGTCGTTTTTCGACAGGACTATTTTTCGGTGTTTTAAATATTATAAAAAAGTTTGGATCCAATCTTCCTGGAACTTGGTGCATATATTAAGGCCTATAAAACCCACATTCTGTTCTAATTTCAAGTCTTAATATTCAATACAACGCTAGTTATGAATTTTTCAAAAAAGTGCCCAAAAACGCGGCATTTTGCAATTTATTCAAAAACTGCTGAACTGATCGGGGCTGTTTCGATTTGTCTTTTTATTGCGCATCATTTTTGCCATTTTATTTGACCGCCTGCCTGACCTCGGATTGGCCTTTAAACTTAGGATGTTATTTCTGACGCTATTTTCTAACGAAAAAAATTTTAAAACCCAGGTTATCAACTTTCCCTGATTTTCGGCCCGAAATCGGATAATTCTATCAAACTATTAAGATTCTTTAGCCTCTTAAGGCCTGGCAAAATAGTTTTCAGAAAGACCAATGTGGCTTTTTTTAAAACAAAATAGTAACATAACTATCATCCCATTACAAAACCATATAGTTATATCTATCGTTGAAGAAACGCAAATGTGAAGACTGTTTTTCGATATTTTATGAAAGATTTCAACAAAGGTAGTATATACATCCAATTTAAAATCTTGAACATTAGGCTTTTTTACCTAAGAGGTAAGCAGGGTATAAAATCCAAGTTTTACTCGGTTAGGCTCTGTTGAGATTAGTCACACGTTTGCTAATATTTTGTATTAACACAAGAAAAATGTATAACATTTTTCTTATGTTTACAGTAATGTTGGGTAATATGTTCTAGCGTCTTAAGCGAATTATTTCTTTATGTTATATAGCCCATAGCTTGCCTTGCTATGAACTATCCAAACACTAAAAGAATAATAAATAAAATTTCCAATTTGAACCAGTAGTTCCTGATATTAGCACATTCAAAAAAACCAACAAGATTTATAATATAAGTATAAATATATAGAAAAATATTTAAACAATACTACACAGAGACATATTATATTAAAATTCTATAGTTTTAAGTATTCTGCTAATATAAAAAATTAAAGCAAATTAAGGATGTCACACTTAGTACTTAGGTACCTATTGTTGTGACATGCAACATGTTTTTATAGATTATCGCTTAGCTTCATTAGGTTTTGTTCAAATGTATGAAAGCGATTGTCTATCTCAACTCCTATCAGTTTAAAAAAAGAATGAAATAAAAATAAACCAGTACCTACTACTTTACATCAACTTAAGATAAACTGTTTCCAAAGAAAAAAACATCAAGATACCACTTAAGCAATTTATTTATTCCTAAGTTAGTATCCAGAAAACAATTGTAAATTACCAATATCACAAAATTCTGAGCATTTATTTTAGACAATATGAATTAATATTAAACCTAATATATATTCATTCTCAAAGCTTATCTTCTGTCATCAACATCTGAAATGAAAAAGAAGTATATTGATCCATGATTACAATGCCAGACTATTTAAGACTAACATCTACAATATGATCAGCAGAATTTATAAGAGGATATTTTCAATTATGATAATCCATAATTATTAAATTTTATTTTAATAAAATATAAGATAGCATAGATATTGTAAGTACATATTTATATATATACATATTTTCCAACAGAACTGTGTGAAAGTAACACTGGCTGATAAAAATACCTTCCCAGAATGCTAATTCTTGTAATAAATGTTTGAAGTATTAAACATTCAACTTTGACTGTATGATTATATTGTATTGTAACCGAAAATTGAATCAGTAATCTGCTAGTCTTAGTAATACTTTACTATTTTACTACAAAAATACTTTTAATTAAGTTGTGAGATTGAGAGTTGATCGGAACTGAATTGTGACTGAACATTTATTGCAAGAATTGGCTGTCAGTGTGTAGATAGAGAGATAGACAATAGACTAGAGATAGACAAGTACAAGTAAATCAGTACTTGTTACAAAAATGACAGCAGAAAGATTGATTCTAAGGTAGAATAGAGACAGTTTAATATATTTTGTATGTGTTAGTTTCCTGGAAACAGTCAAAACTGGCTGTTGACCGTAACATGCTCAAGCTATTACTTACACTCCCCAATCCATCTTCTTCCTCAGAGTCTCCTTCCCAAACTAGATAAGGGTCAGCTTGAAGTCTACTATGATATGTAGTGACTGCTATCAGACCAACTACCGGTAATGGTTACCACAGATGTACATCCCATCCATCTATATAAGCAATATCCCTTGCCTTTCTTTACTACCTTTGGCATTAAATATACTCTTAATTTCCATTATTTAAAACCATTTTTGACAACAATGAGTTCAAATTATGCTAAGCATGATGTGTGTGTTTTAATACACTTTTGCCTATCACTGTCCACCTAAGAAATAGATGTACTTATAGATATGATCAAATAGATGCCCAAAATAATATTTTCAGGTTACTAACTTATGTGACTATATGTATACTAAACTAAACAACCATAGGGTTAACAAAGAAACTTCACTAAACTTAAATTCTCTTGAAAAGCAGACATTACTTAGAACTTTAGACTTAGAAAATTCATTATATTAGTCCTGTTTAGTGTCTAAATTACGAAAGGCACCATGAGACACTACTAATGTAGATGTAATTTGGTTTAAAAGACTTTTACATTATAATACTTAAGTTGATAACTCACAAATACATAAACAATTTACATTAATTATATAAACGTAATAATTACAGATGGTAAAAGAAGTTCAACTCTTATTATCTAATTAAATGCCTTGAAATAATTTTTTTGTGAAACTACATTGTTTAAAATTTGCTTGATGTTTACTTATACATTTAAAATACCATACAATTGAGTACATATGCTATGACATGGCTCAAATTCTTTAAAGAAATACACTGTCATTAAAATTAACACATTTCACTCACTTTTGCCATCACATGCCACTATTTTCACTTTGTCAACTTTAGCAACTTCTTGTACTTCACGAAACTCCACATCATTCAACATGAACGTCCACACGTTGTCGCAAAATCTGTAAATATATGCATTTTACAGAACTATTGATTTCTACATTTATATATATTAATTTGTGATCATGAGGTAGTTAATTAATAGGTATACCTATACGTATTTAGTTTTCCTGCTTTGAAGGTTAATCTTGACTTTACTCTGTTCGATAAAGCTTGATTAATAGATTTATCGAATTGTAACAATACTTTCACTGCTAACGCTGGAGTTATCTGCCCATACTGTAACGATTAAAGAATTAATATTTTTCTCAAAATTGACACTAATATAACCAAAATATTGCATGTAAACAAAACGTACTTGTATTAATTCATCTAGGCTTTCCTGTAAGGTATTCCCGATTGTGGTATTTCTATATAATTGATATGACATAACTAATGTTTTAGATGTATAATTTATAGGTATTTATGTAAATAGTAAAATGATGACTAATATTTTTTAGAAATCGAAAACCACTGCTTCACTTTGCCTTAATTAAAGGGTTTTCGTCAAGTTATAATTTGGTTTTCGTTCGACTGTCGACATACTGGGTACAGACAGTAGGGCTGCCAACCTAAGAACTTTTTTTCTCCTACATAAACAACTTAAAATCTCGTATTTGGATGTCCAATATTCATGAAGCTTTTAAATAAAATGTTATAAAACCAAAAATAACGCATATTAAAGGAGTGCAAATTTAGCAAACGTTAGTTAACTTGAAAAAAATTAAATTAAACAAATGAAAAATTTGGTATTATTCCTCAATAGACTTTAAACCTCAAATTTACGATATAAAATTTTGTTTACAATGAAAAACATGCTATAAAATTTTCTACCTATATCAAAATCTGGCACATAACTGTACGAGCCTGATCGTGTCGTCGCGCGTCGCCCCCTCCTTCCTCTCACAGCAGAGGCAGCCGTACACCCATAGAATATTAGCATAGAGAGAACAAGAGCCTCAATCTTGCAATATAGGTTCTAGTCAAGCTCTGTGGTTGGCTGGGGAATATGAGGAGTTAATAAGTAGCAAATCGCAGGTTAGCTAAACAAAGACAGAGGAAACTATCGGGCGTTCATCTCTCTCGTTGCCTGTATCGCTTACACTTACAGGCAGCTGTACCCCGTGTTCTCTCTATGCTTATATCTCTATGCGCAGACCACAAGTCTCGTATTTGTCAAGTACCAGGAACCGTTGAAAACCCTGTCGGACAGATATGGTAGGTTCAGTGTTGCCAATTGAGACTGAACCGAAAGAAAGAAGTAAAAAAATTGGTTTATTGAAATTTATTGATTCATTGATTCAACGAACAAGTACTACCGGAACCGATTGCGGTACACGGTGCCGTTCTCGAAGTTGTTCAAAGTTATGTGTACCTCGGGCAAACATTGCAGTTAGGTAGAAACAACTTCGAGGACGAGGTGAACAGAAGAATTCGGTTGGGTTGGGCAGCGTTTGGGAAGCTACGTCGAGTCTTCTCATCGTCGATCCCACAGTGCCTTAAGACGAAAGTCTTTAATGAGTGCGTCCTACCCGTCATGACATACGGAGCTGAAACGTGGACACTTACGGTACGGCTGGTCCACAAGTTCAAAGTCGCTCAACGTGCTATGGAAAGGGCTATGCTCGGCGTTTCTCTAAGGGATCGCATCAGAAATGAGGTGATCCGGCAGAGAACCAAGGTCACCGACATAGCCTACCGGATCAGCAAGCTGAAGTGGCAGTGGGCTGGCCATATTAGCCGCAGAACCGACAACCGTTGGGGAAAACGAGTTCTTGAGTGGAGACCGCGTCTCGGTAAACGTAGTGTAGGACGCCCACAGGCCAGGTGGAGTGACGATTTGCGCAAGATGGCTGGCAGAAGCTGGATGCGAGAAGCCCAAAATCAATCTAAGTGGAGTGCAATGGGAGAGGCCTATGTCCAGCAGTGGACTGCGATAGGCTGATGATGATGATGATGAATTGATGAATATTATACCCGTGTGGTGACGGATTAAGAATACAGAGCGTCACCACCCCTATTTAACCCGTGGGTGTCGTGAGAGCCGACTTAGGGAAAAAACTAGCAGAATGACAGCACTGCAGAGAGAAGGAAAACTTAAACCCTATACCAACCCGTCTGGCCAGCATGGTATAGTAGGCCAAAATCTCCTTTCTAAAGAGAGGCTTATGTCCAGCAGTGGACTGTTGAAGGCTGTTGATGTGTGTGATGTGATGTGAAGCACCATTACCACTGACTAAACTAAAATAGTGTATTTGAAAATGAAATACTTTAGATTACTATTAAATATAAAATAATAAAAATAATCACTCCTTATTTATTTTTCCTCTTTTTACTCTTTACTCTTTTTTTCTTCTCGTCTTTCTAACACACCGGTGGGCACAGGCGATCGAGACCAAATGAGAGGCTTGTGCGGTTGGTTTGGACATAGCGAAGGTCTTTGATCGGGTCTGGCATAAGGCGCTTCTCTCGAAGCTCCCTTCCTTTGGGCTTCCCGAGAAATTATGTAATTGGGTCACCAGCTTCCTTGCGGACAGAAGCATTAAGGTCGTTGTCGACGGTGCATGGTCCGACTTGAAATTCGTAAATGCTGGTGTCCCACAAGGCTGTGTGCTATCACCCACACTGTTTCTTCTGCATATCAATGACATGTTGCAAACTAGTAGCATCCATTGCTATGCAGATGATAGCACAGGAGATGCCCTTTATACCGGCCGCCCCAACATTTCTCGGGAAAACGTCATCGAGAGTCGAAACAAACTTGTGTCTGAAATTGAAACTTCCTTAGCGGAGGTTTTAGATCTAGACTAAATCTAGTCCAGTTTAACCTAAAAAATACACAGGTATGTGCGTTCACCGCAAAAAAGATACCATTTGTCATATCACCTCAGTTTGAGAGCACCTCCCTAACTGACTCAGCCAGCATCGGAATCCTAGGCATCGACATATCGATCTGCCAACATAGCGTAGTGGTTAAAAGTGTCGGTCTGAGCGCATCGATGCTTGTGGTCGAGGCTTCAAAACCTAGGTTGCGATATCGCTTTTTCTGAACGGGATCGGGAGAGGGCCGATGCCGAGCGAAGAAGACGTCGACGACGTAATGAGCAGCCGACGGGACCGCGAGCCGCCAGAGAGTGGGGACCTCTGGTGGCAGATTAATTGCTGCGGTAGGGGAAAGGATGGCAGCCTGATCGCACTGAAAATGTGATCGGGCTGCAACATCTGGATAGGCTGAGAGGCAGGGAGAAGCCACTGGCTTTCCCTGAGATGGGACCTAGTTAGGTGCGGCGTCGATCTGGGGGACCTGAAATGACATGGCCCGGGTTCTCCCCAGAGCAAGGCGCCTAAGGCTGGCCGTCGGAGAGGTTTTTAGTGGAATCACCACATACTCCTGGCTCCTATATATCCAAGGAGCCGGAGATCCGATGGGATTTTCCACTCCGTCAACAAAAAAAAAAACAAAAAAAAAAGGCATCTAAATATCGAGCGAAATTCAGTTTCGGAGTCACTTAGAGGGTAAGGTCAAATTGGCCTCGAAGAAGCTCGGTGTCCTGAACAGATCGAGGCAGTATTTCACTCCGGCCCACCGCCTTCAGCTCTATAAGGCGCAAGTCCGGCCGCATATGGATTACTGTTCTCATCTCTATGCAGTACCTCAGTACCAGCATCTCCCTCTGGACCGCATCCAACGAAGAGCGACTCGAATCGTCGATAGCCCTAACATCTCCGATCGACTCGATCCGGGGTGCTCCGAGGATTTGTTCGGACTAATACCAGCCGCAAATTTCCGCCATCGTTCCAGACGTTTCATCGTTTCATCCTCGTTTCATCCTCATTACCTGGATAGCTGGCGCTCTTTGTCTTGGACTTTTTGTCCCGCACAACCAATCTGTGGAACGGGTTATCGTCTACGGTATTTCCGGACCGATACGACCTTCAAACCTTCAAGAAAAGAGCATAATCCTTCCTAAAAGGCCGGCCACACGTTTATGACTCCTGAGTTGCAGACGTTCAAGGGCGGCAATAGTCACTTTCCATCAGGTGACCCGTCTGCTCGTCTGGCCCCCTCTATCATAAAAAAAAAAACAATGGTGTCCAACAATATTCTTAGAGACTAGTGTTAGTACAGTACATAAAGGACAAAACCATAAAGCAAAACAGAATAAAGAAAAAAATAGACATGTACACACATAACAATCATTGCTGCGGCATTCCGTACGCAATTGCGCGATTTTTACGATTGATGTAACCACAGTCCAGCCGACTAGAGATCATGTTCAGGATATTGTTGACGCTGCCGCTCACCCTGCGCATCAGAGATGTGCATCTTTTACGCATCGTAGCTTAAAAGCAATCAACGCGATGTTCAGCAAACATCCCCGATGCACTATAGAAACGCTGCAGCCCCAGCAGCAAACTGAAGGCGTTATTATATTGGACTCGGAGGGCACTGTACGACGCTTGAGTATAGTCAGCCCACAGGCTGTAAAATGAAGTGCAATACGATCTGAAAAGTGTAAGTTTTACTGCTGTCGTGAAACGTGCAAACCTGCGAGCTATCATGCTCCCTCTCACTGACAGCGCCCTCCGTTCCCTCTCTATGTCATCATTGTCCTTAAGTCAGAGGTCAGCACATGTCCTAAGTACTTAAATTTATGTACCCTACGCAATACTGTACCATTGAGCGTTAGATTAGGAAAAAGAAACTCCTTACCTGTACTCCTACCTGCCGCAATGACCATGACTTCACTTTTTATTGTATTATATTTTAATCCATGATTTGTAAGCAGTTTCTTTAACCCACATTCAGATGCACTCAAGAGCACCATGTCATCAGCGTAGCTTATATTGTTAACATGAATTCCATCTATGTGACAGTCCGCACGTGTGCTGCTGAGTACACCAATCAGATCATTCATGTACAGGTTAAATAAGATTGGCGAGGATAACCCTCCTTGCCTCACCCCACACTCCAACCTGTACGATTGCGACATGTTTTCCGACCATCGCACGCCATTGACTTCGTTTCCATACCAGCACTTGCAGATGTTAATGAGTTCTACTGATAAATTAGTCTGGTAGTAGTAGATTAGTAGATATATGTTAGTGTTTTTTTAATTACATTAAGTGTTTGTGAACATTAGTAAAAGTATTAAATAAAAATATTATTGTATCTATGGCCTTCAAAGTAGGTATAATCTAATTTGTAATTAGATAGACCAGGGGTCGGCAACAGGTCCGAATAAGGACGGTAGAAAGTCGATCCTTGGACCGTCGACTACTTAAAATAAACCTACGTATTAAATTTAAACCCCAAAGATGACCAAGTTGGCTAGTACTCATTTTCGTACCTATTTTACATGTAAGTACGGACGATTGTTGTGATTTTAT